TATTTTTTTTTTGCCGGTAACCACAATGGTGGTCGAGTAGACCATGTTGTGCTGGGTGGAGGACCCTCACTCCGCGCAAGGGGGATGACCGCACCACGTTGTGTTAAAATGGTTAAATTGGTCAAGCACCCTCGAGGCAGTTACACCTTGCTTACAACTGTCTCTGGAAGTGGAAGCACCAGAAAATATATTAAGTCATGCGCAGCTGTCATCCGTACGCAAGGGAGTAAGCACAAGATGCCGAACACCCTTGGCAGGATGCAGCGCACCCTTCATGCGACTCGCCGAATATCTCACGGCGCTTCGCGCTTGGTGATGTGAGAGCCTGGNTTTGCCCCCACCCCCTCTTATTCTTGGTGCCTCTTTTCCGCCTTTATCATCGCTGTCTCTCCTTGTCCCTTTCTCTCCCCCTTTCCTTCTCCCTCTCCTTCCGCCCCTCCTTGTTGAGAATTGTGATACCATGTCACTCTCCCCTTCTCTGCCGGCTCTACCCTCCTCGGCGACCGGATCAGAACTTTGTCGAGCACATCGACGGCATTGACAACGGAGTGGATGTGGCCAAAGGAGCGGACCTGAGCTACGACATATCTTCGCACCTCAGCGCTAGGGTGGGCCAGCTCAACCCGAGGTGGGTGGGTCGGCTGGTTGTGGAAAAGATTCCCCTGCCACGATATGTAGTATCCGGGAAGAGTTCCCACACACATTCGGCCCCTTCCCGGCTCTCCTCTTCGTCCTTGTTGCTGGCTGTTTTCGTCGTTGTGTTCGTCGTCGTCGTCGTCGTCGTCGTCGTCGTCGTCGTCGTCATCGTCCTTGTTGGCCCTTCTTTGTGGTTGTGTTGTAGTTGTCGTTAAATGTTATCGGTCGTGTTGATGCTGTTGATCTTGGTCATGATGTTGTCGTTGTTGTTGCTGTCCGTGCTGACGATCTTGATGTTGTTGTCGTCGACGTCGTCGTCGTCATCGTCGTTGTTGGCCCTTCGTTGTGGTTGTTGTATCTCCGGACGTGGGGGGCCTATCGGCCCCCTCGTCCTCTGGGTTGCTGTGTCTAGGTGATGGTGGAAGGGGAGTGGTGTGGATGGTGGGTGAGGCTGGATACCAAGGGCGGGAGTGTTGCACTTAATGGGAAGGATGAATGTCGCATGACAGAGGGGCCCGATGGAGGAACACAAAATATGTATTAGATAGGAACGCCGAGACTTCGCAGGAAGTACTCAAAACAAAAGAAAAATCAGATTTGACTACTTACAAACGATTGTACAGTAGCAATAGGTGCGCGTGGGAAGACAACGCAAGCCCAGAACTACAGGAGGAAAAGATGACGCAGTACAATACGTGCAAGAACCTGGAAAAAGGCGCAAGAAGAAAAGAAAACAAACGGTTGTGACTACTTAAAAAATGAAGACACGGTCGCCGGATGCATTGCAACCCACGCGCCAACTCCCGGTAGCGGGATGCATCGCACGCGCGCCAACTCCCTACTTACAAAATGAAGACTGCCTACTTTTGTGAGCGTGGCGCGGGTGTGGTGAGGAGACTAGAACGAATCTTTACTTCCAGAAGTTTGGGCGAAGTTTTGACCCAACTAAAGATCCAGAACCCACAGCAGCAGAGAGGGCTACACGCTCCCGGCTTCGTTGAGCGGCTTCGTTAAGCTCGCTCAGAAATTGTGATCGACCTACCACGTGAATATTGCGCTTGCTACAAACCGCACTAGAGGTGAATAGACGGTAGTACGTGCTGGCTATTGAGGGTGTTCGTGTTTTTTCTCTCCCTGCTGGCCACACACCAACCTAAATACCAAAACCCCGCACAACGGGACTGTCACCTTTTTGCGAACGGAAGGCGAAAGACGTCGGTTCCGCGGGTTTCAGCGCGCTTTCACGACACTGATTCCCAACTCAGCGGGCACAATCGGGACCGCGCGAAATGAGTCATTCTGTTCGCTAGGCCACCAGGTGCCACCGTGCGAAGGCGCGAGTCTCGCCGTGCGTCTGGGCGCGCGCTATGAGGGCGCGAAGTTAACGTACTGTTTTCAGAGGGGGTCGAATCGCCCCGCTGCGCTGTGAGCGACCCAGTCCTGAAGATCCCGATTCCCNTTTTCGAAGGCGCGAGTCTCGCCGTGCGTCTGGGCGCGCGCGCTATGAGGGCGCGAAGTTAACGTATTGTTTTCAGAGGGGGTCGAATCGCCCCGCTGCGCTGTGAGCGACCCAGTCCTGAAGATCCCGATTCCCGTAAAATTTATAACCTCTAATAGTTGTCGTCGTCATTAGTTGTTCTCGATCATGTTGATGCCGTTGATCTTGATCATGATGTTGTGGTGACTGTCTTTGCTATTGTTGCTGTCCTTGCTGACAATCATGATGTTGTCATCGTCGTCGTTGTCCCTGTGGTCTTTTCGCTCGCCGTGCTGTCGTTGCAATCCTCCCGTTCTTGTTTCGTCTTTACACATGGTGCTCGTGTTTGATCTCGCCCTTCTTGTCCCCGTTCTTGTTTTTCCGCTTCTTCCTCTCTCCTCAGTATCATTATTGCCCCCCGCTCTCTCCTGCTCGCCACACACCATTGTTTTTCCTCCTCTCCCTCTCCCTCATTGTCTATGCCGCCCCCCCTCTCTCTCCTACTTGCTTCACACCGTTGTTGTCTCCCCCCCCCCCCCCCCCCCCCCCCCCCCCCCCCCCCCCCCCCCCCCCCCCCCCCNCTCTCTCTTGCTTGCTCGCCGCAGCTGGAACGAGCGCTCAGACCCCGAAGGCCCCGACGGCCCGAACGCTCGCTTCAAGAAGGCTATGTCGCTCACCGGTGGCGAGCTGTGCCGTTGCGTCCAGGGGCTGGCTACGTCGTGGTGGCCCGCGAGGGCAATCGTGGCGGAGTCGTTGGCAAGGCGCAAGGAGGACCACCCATCGGGAGAGGTAAGGTGGGAGCTTTACGAGGAGTGAGGCGCTCTCGCTCGCCCCGTCTTCCCACATTGTTTGGCTGCCTCGTGGTTGTTGTCGCCGACGGGAAGTTAGTTGGTCATCTTCTCGTTTATTTTGGTTGTATTGTGTGTTTCGGGGCTCGTTTTTTTGTGGCCGCGCTAAACGGCCGACGGATAGAGAGACGTCCGTCTCGGAGTTGCTAGAAACGGAAAACGATTCCAAGGGACATGATCTGGGGCCCAATAAGGGGGGGGGTGTTTGCCTTTTTGCTTTGGACTCCCTGCATGTCCGTACGTTGTTGCATTTTGACTGCTCCTCACATCTCGAGCGAACATGATGTAACAAATCATTGCGACAAGGAGCAACATCTCGATGACAAACACACAATTATTTTTGCGTTTCTTCATATGGATGTACTGCTATGTCGTGCGTCAACGGCGTCTGCGGTGTTCCACCCAGATTATGGTTCTCACGGGCTTCTGTCCCTGGAAGGGTCACCTCCTCGAGCTCGAGGAAGAGATGGGGATCGCTGGGGAGCTCAAGTACGTGCTCTACGCCGAGGGGGACCCCGCAGGGAAATGGCGAATACAGGTGAGACATTGCCCGCGCGCGCGAACGAGAGGAAGGCATTGGTGGAACGAACAACTGGCAAGTGGGGCGGACAAACGGGCTTGTCTGAAATCAGGTTTCTGGCAGATAAAGAACCGGGGTAAGCGATGATGTTCATGCCCCAGTCCAGACTGGACTCCTGCGGGATGGACGGGTGAAAACACAGACACACCGTTGCAACGTTGTGTGTGAAAACTACCTGTTGTGTTCTTCTCACATTCATTCAGGCTACATATTGCGCTTGCAAACAATTGGCGTCGAATAATTTTGTGTGGTATCTTTTTCTGCCGTGGTCAATCGATCGATCAGGCGGTACCCGTATCGGAGGGCTCCTTCGCTCTCCGCCTACCTCTGGCGAAGCCGTGGCTTGGCCTGCGGGACACGGAGCTGTCGGAGGCGTCCGGCATAGAGGGTGGCGTTTTCGTTCACGTCAACGGTTTCATCGGCGGCAACGCTAGCAAGGCCGGGGCCATGGCCATGGCCTCCAAGTCGCTTGAGCTTGCAGCAGCGGCGGCGACCTAGGCCGCAGACATACGAGATAGTATAGTAGGTTGTAGATAGGTGTTGGGCGGTTGAAGCCGACGGCAGTGGGAGCCGCGGCGGCGACGAGGTCATTCGATGGTTATGGGTAAGCCGTTTGAGTCGGCCGTAGCGACGAGATCATGCGGTGGTGATGAGGGGTAGGTTTGTTTGCGTCGGCGGTGGCGACAGCGGCGGCGACCTTCACGTAGAATTGCAAGCATGGCAGCACTTGTTTTTTTTTACACATCTAGAGCACCAAGGAATTCACGGGCCGAATCGACTGCCCCAACCCCTCCACCCAGGGGGGTACAGAGCACATATCTTTCACCTCGTCAGGACTAGCCACTACTGCTGTTCTCTTACATCCGCACTACCTCATCTCTCTTCAGACCGTATACGCTTGTCCTGGATACCAACTGTGAGAGCGGAACACGCAACAACTCAGATCCCAATCTCGCGCCCAAAGAAACAATTGGGAACGCGGCAGAATCTAGGACGGCAACGGCGATGGCCCATTACCGGACCACAAAGATTCCATGTCCCGGCACTCCTGCTCTGGTTCGCCGGCACGTGTGTACTTACAACACTGGCGCCAGCACACCGATCAGCCGTCATCTTCCGAGGACATCTAGCACGCTCTCGTACGTCACGAACAAGGCCGAGTTTCCCAAGAACGCCCGCGCTATCGCTGGCGAAAGCCCCCTGTACAAGCCCAAGAAGGCCTTCAGCCCATCACCAGCCCCGCCCCCTACGCCGTCCCCCCTCCCAGCCCCGCGGCGGCGGCGGCCTTGCGCCAAGGCTTGTCGCCACCCGTCCAAGAAGCCTCGGTACCTCGGAGCCTTGGTCGAGTCGGTTTGCACCAGCGACTTGACGGTGTCTATCGGATGGGTCGCGACGGTGTAGAGGACTCCGGCGCAGCCCCCCGCTGCCACGATAGGACCAATCCCGGCCTGCTCTTGGCGTTGCTGTTGTCGTTCATCCCGGTGGGCCCCGCCGCCGCCGCTCCTGACCGCTCCCCCCGTACTTCTGCCCCCGAACGCCTTCGGCCGCACATGCGAGGGCGTTGTAGGGTGGTGGATTTAGTGTCAGCATGCATCCTCTTTTCAAGTATATTGGGCTACTAGCACCGGTTGTCACAAAAAATCCACTACATGCATGCACTGTGTGCACGTGTGTGTTGGTGCCTCGGGGTTTCTCTGACTGCTGAACAACCAACAACTTCCAAAATCCAAACGGACGCGCGGGCGCGAGCGCAGGTTGGACCCTGTCGTTGAATCCCCTCCGCGTCTTCCCCCGTCGAGGGGTCCCGCGGACTTTTTTTCCATGTCCCACTCATAGCGCAAGATTTGCTGCTTTTGCTTTTGGCAAGCCAGCTAGCGCTGTCGACGAAACAACGGGAGAAGCACAAAGCACGCACGGAGGTTGTCTTCGATAGACTTTGGAGAAAGCGGTAAGAGAGGGCCGTGAGCTGGAGTCACGAGAGAGAACCTCAAGTCCGCTTCTCCGTAACCTCGTAGTACCTGTTTGCAGAGCTCGTACGAGCCGAAGTAGACAGTGTTGCCGATCCCTTCTTTGAGTAGCATGGACGAAAAACCCTTGTAGGAACCCTGCAGAGGCGGCGGGGCCGTCGAGAAGGAGGGGCAATCTGTTTTAGCACCGCCAGTGTTTCAGGGTGGTGCGTGTACCGTCAGAACAATCACACGGAGGGAGAGGAGGGGAAGACGACAAAGGGAGGGGACATACACAACACACAGAAATTGTCCCTCCTGGGGCCCGTAAGCCAAGACATATTTTCATATTTTGTCTCGTGCGGCATTTATTTCTCGAATGCTTTCACGTTCTCTGCAAGCTCGGTAATTACGTACATAAACGACCGATGATGCGCGCGGAGTCCATGCTGCTCTTTCTCCTCGCGAGACAGGCAAGCGCAGTTGGTTCAAGGGCACAAAACGCACGCTGCTGGAAACAGAAACACTTGCTGCTTGCTCACCTTGAAAAGCCCATGGTGACGGTAGATTTGAACCCCCGTCGTCCACACGGTCACGCCCGCTGGTGAACCTCTCAGAACCTGTTTGCGACGATTACAACACCCAAAACAGCAGCAGAGAATGGGGGATAACAGCTCCTTTTGTTAAGCCCGCAGAGCGGGGAAGGAGCAGCATGTGCAAACATACTCTCAAAGGAGGGAGTGCATGCACGCATCATGTCATGTGGTATCACGGTTTCAACCTGGCTTGGAAACAGCTGACGTGGGTTACGACTCTTACGAAATACGAGCATCATTCATTGCGCCCAACAAGTACCACAGGACAACGAAAAAGAGCGAAGAAGGTATTTGGAGTGATTTCCGTCGGAAATAATTCGGGATCGGGTGAAATATAGGAGCACAAACGGTTCGCGCCGTCTCCGTCTCGGTGTACCAGGTGGGCGGGGATGAATAAAGAAGGCCTCTCGTTGTGAAAGTGTGTACAGTGTACAAATATACCTCCTGTCTTTGTGATCCGCGACTGGTACGTCGAAACACACACCGAGCAGGCAAAGACTTGAGCCTGGAGTACATGGGGACGCGCACACAGTCAACGACATACGGCAACGGCAACGACAATGATGACGACAAATTCACCCACCATGGAACACTTGCCCACACACAAGCGAGCAAGCAACATCACGTCGAAAAACTAAAACATGGCGCAACCACGATAGGAGACAAATTGCAATGGATACCTGCATTCGAGTCTTAACAAGCTCCAGAGGGCAGTAGGCAATCGCCTCCAGCACGCCCGTCCCCATCGCTGCCAACATAAACCGTCCGCTCAGGGGCTGCAGTCAAGGAAGCGGAGAGGGAGGGAGGGGGAGTACGCATGCCGTAGTTGTTAGCCTTCTGACCTCGAAGGGGAGGGGGGGGGGGGGG